TATATATATATGGAGTACATGTCTGATTAACAAATTTAAGTCACATTAGTAATGTTTTTTTATTTAATATGCTGTAAAAAGTGTCCAATTGGATAATTAAATGTACGGAATTATCAGTACAAAATTGTTTTTGTAAATTTAATTGCAGATGTAAATATGAACATACGTAAACAAATAATAAATAATTTACTAAATGTTAGTGTAACTATTGAATATAATTGCAAAATATATTTTTCATGTAATACTAATTTACATTTATATTTCCGAAAGTTAGTGTTATATCTTTAACAGTTACGCAAACATTTGGCAAATTATTTATTTGTTTACATATGTATTTGCATCTGAAATTAAATTCACAAAAACAATTTTGTACTGATAATTCCGTACATTTAATTGTCCCATTGGACATTTTTTATAGCATATTAAATAAAGAAACAGCTAACGTGACTTAAATTTAATCATGCACTCTATACTTAAACGTGATTTTTTAGTAATAAACCGAAAAAATAAAAATTCAAGAAACAAAAAACTAAAAATTTTATGCTTATAATTCGAGATTTTTTTAACGGCAAATTCAATTCTTCTTTGACAAATTGGTGCCAGACGGAACTCTGAATCTTAAAAATTAGAACTACAGTAATTTATTGAAAAAAAATGTTATCTCGGCTCCTAATAATCGGACAGTAATCTTTTTTTTTTAAATTCGTAGAAAAATATCAGCTGTCGAATGCTTCACACAGCTATTTGATATGATGCATATTAACGGAATTATTCTATTTTTTTATACGAAAAAAGATACCTACTTTTTAAAGTCGTTTTATAATAGTTTAACTGCAAAAAATTGTTTTGTTATTAAGTGTACGTGAAAGTGCAACTCTTGAAGAAGAAAAATCACCACTGTAAATTAAAGTACGACTGTTCAAAGATAAAGAAATTAAGTTTTCCGCAGACAGGTTTTTAGTGAACAAATAGCTTTTTGCAAAAACTAATGAACATTTCAGGCTTGTTCAGGGCTGAATTTGTTCGTCATTACGAAGACTACATTTTACGAGAATTTCAAAGCTTTGCGTTTAAATCTCAATGAAAACAGAGCGAGTGAAAAAACAGCTTTTTCGGTATTTTATATTTTTTTTCTATTGAACTAATAGATCGATTTTAATGTTTCACGTTTCATTTTGTAGATATTTCAAATATCTACATTTTTTATACAGAAGAATTTTTATATAGAATTTTTTTCCATATAATACCTTTCGTTTTATAAGCGAAAAACGTATTTTTTTGCAACTATTTGATTTTTTTTGTATATTTTTATCACAAGTCTCGAATCTCAAACATATGCATTTCTTTTCTGATGGCCTTTCGAGATTTTCGTGAAAAGAAATGCTGGTTTATAATTTTTTTCTGGTAAAATCTTACTTCTGAACTATTCTTTCTGCTCGAGTTTATGAAGGAGGGGTATACTATATAATGCGCATGAAAAATCATAAACAATTAAATATCTCGTAAATTGTTGCGTTGTAACGTAATTTATACTATTCTGGATTAATGAGAGATACACTATTACTACAATTTATGAAAACTTATATATTATTTAGAATGTCCCCCGTCCCTTATTGATGTCTAGGGCCGCCGAGTGGTCGAGATTGTCGAGAAAGCATTTTCAGTCGCTTGAAACAAGCGACTAGTGTGAGAAGAAGCTCACTGTCTCGTTCACTGTGGGCGCACCGCAGGCGAGCATACGGAACGGGCTTTGCTTAAGTGTGTGGTTACCGGTTTCGCCAGACCGCCATCTGAGTCTATGTCGCCACCGTCAACGCAGAGTTCTTGGCTAAGTATTCATGAACCTTAATCTCTTCTTTGTTATATAAAGATACATATATGTATATATATATATATATATA